CTCTCCTCTCCTCTCCTCTTTCTTGCGTCAAAAACAGTAATTTCTTTGTAACATGAGTGAAAATGTGCTGCTCAAATTGTTCAGGTCACACTGAAATGTTCAGGACACTTGATCAAAATAAACTTGAGCCACTCATTTCTAACATATTTTAGGGCCATATAAAATCTCTTTTATTTTAATTTATTTTATTTTTTTCTATTTTTTCTGTATTCAGTTATTTATATATTTATTTATTGGAGTCTGTTTTAATGGTTTAATTTAAGTAATGGAAAATATGTCTAATTATTGAAATCATGAAACGTATACAATTTAACAACATTTTAATTAAAAGTTTAACAAAAAATTACTTTTCAGGGCCCTTTAAAGCAACGGTAAAAATACTAAAATGACAAAACCACACAACAAAATTACTAAAATAAAAATGGAAAATATGAAAATAAAAAATTATTCAAAATATTAGAAAAAAAACTATAACAGTATCTCAGTGATACTAAAATACTAAAAATACTAACATTTCAGTGATAGAGAAAAGTAAACTTAATTAAAAGGAAAAACAAGATTATTTTTTTTAGCTCATAGACAGATATTTTTTCTTGTTTCAGAAAAAAAGGCTAAATATCTTATTTTGCTTAAGTCAATGTATCTTGATTTGTAAATTATTTGATATTTGTAACAAGACAAAAATACTGAGCAAGAAAATCATTTTTGCAGTGTATACTGTAGTTTAATTGTGATTGCATGAAATTAGGAAGGTTCCAACTGAAGGATGGAAATATTAATGAGGATGAATGAAAGCGTCATGCAGCTCCGGTTCAGTCCTCTGATTGTTTGTCAGAGTCACACTGACCTGTTGCCATGGACACACACACACACACACACACACACACACACACAGACAGAGGTTGTTGTGTATGTCAGGAGAGCAGAACTGAGTATTCATATTCCTCTTCATGTTAGTCAAGGTCTCCTGCACTAATAACGGTAGTAAAGATCTGCAAGCAGCAGTTACAGACACGTGAACATGGCATTCAGCATAGAGAATCAGAGGCCAGATGTTATGACTGTTATGAGCTTTGTGATGACAATTACTTCATTATTTATTTATTTATTTTAGTGCTGTCAAAATTAGCGCATTAACGCAGGCGATTAATTTTTTCAATCAGCCGGTATACTGTGCTTGTAGCGCGTGTTTTTGAATTGCACAAATGCGGCGGCACGAGCTGTATATAATTTCATATTAAAGCGCATGCAATGTAGTAGTTATGTCGTCGCTTAAGTCATGAAGTTAACAAAAAGGCAGTGAAAGCTGCCTTAAAACTGTGCGTGTATGTAAGTATTTGTTATATGAGTCAGATTTAAGAACATGTCTCTGAAATGCAGTGGTTTTCCAAACTGCACTGTCTCCCTCATCTAACACACCGGATTCAACTCCTCAGCTCATTATAGAGACTTTAAGAGCTGCAGTGAGTCAGAAAAGGTAAAGAGTTATGAGAAACTATGATGCATGTCAGATCCGCATCATGTTCAGCAGCAGCAGCAGCAGCTCTTAAAGTAATAGCAGCCAGAATAACCTCATAACCAGATGCTGTGATGCTGTTCATCAAAGAACAAAAGAAAAAAGAGCTGTAAGGATTCATCTATATTTAATGTAGAATTTAGTGTTTGATAACTTTATTCAATTTCTGTATATTTCCTACTTGCTGAAGGGCACAGGTAGCTAAATATGACATTTATTATAATGGGTTTATGCGAAGATTGTTTTAAAATCACTTAAATTAGAGGTCTTTTTTTTTTAAGTCTAATAAATGTTAAAATTGATCATTTTGAATGGCTTGATTGATCAAATTGAATGGCTATAGACAATGGTTAAATATTAGGGAAAAAAACTATTTCATAGAGACATTCGTGATACTCGCCTTCAGTCATAAAAAAATATGCCATCAAACAAATATTTAAAAATATACTGTTTTTGTGGTTTCTACATTAATTTGAAGATGGAATGCAAAATTATTGCAATATAAAAGTATATTTAAAAACTTTAATGTTAGGTGAGATTAATCACGATTAATTTCAGAAAAAGTGTGTGATTGATCAGTTAATTTTTTTAATCGATTGACAGCACTTTTTATTTATATATTACACAATAACACAATTTATTTATATATTTATTTTCTTTTGGTTCTGCTTTTTGGAAATTTTTTTGTGTTTTCCCCTTTTAATATTTTTTCTTCTTTTGGCTTTTTTTTAATAATTTTTTTATGCATTTATTTTTTTTATTTTCTCCTGTTTTTCCTTTTTTTATGTTTTTAGTTTTTTTTTCTATTGGTTTTTCTTTTTTGGGAAAAAAAAAGTTTTGTTTATTTATTTATGTATTTATTTATTTTCTTCCATTTTCCTTTTTGGAAAAAAAACATGCTTTTTATTTTTGTGTTCTTCTTTTTGGCTTTTTTTTTTCTTTGTAGTTCTTTTGTAGTTTTTTTCCTTTGTTTTTTTTTCTTTTTGGAAAAAGCTTTCTATTATTATTTTTTCCCTTTTTATCCTTTTTTCTTATTTTGGCTTTTCTCTTTGTAAAAATCTTTTTATTTTTTATAAAAACATTTTCATTTTATAATAATTATTTTTTTTTACCTTTATTGTTTTCTTTTTTTTTCTATTAGTTTTTTTCCGTCTATTTTTTTTCTTCTGTTTTTGGTGTGAATGTGACCTGGAAATGTTTCTGTGAGATTCACCCAAAGCGTTGACACGATTCGGCCTCATTCTGTCGTCTTTTGGCCTTTTGTTTTGGAAAAAAAATCATTTTATTATATATTTATTTTTTTCCTTTTTTTATGTTTTTTAGTTTTGTTTATTTTGTTTATTTTTTATTTTTTCCCCTTTTTTGTTTATTTATTTATTTTTTCCCATTTTTCTTTTTGGAGAAAACATGCTTTTTATTTTTGTTTTCTTCTTTTTGGCTTTTATTTTATTATTATTATTTTTTATCTTTGTAGTTCTTTTTTTGTTCCTGTTGGTTTTTCTTTTGGAAAAAGCTTTCTATTATTGTTTTTTCCCTTTTTATCCTTTTTTCTTATTTTGGCTTTTCTCTTTGTAAAAATCTTTTAACATTTTATTTATTTATTTTTTAACCTTTTTTCTTCTCTTTTTTTTCTGTCTATTTTTTCCTTCTGTTTTGGTGTGAATGTGACCTGGACATGTTTCTGTGAGATTCACCCAAAGCGTTGACACGATTCGGCCTCATTTCCTCGTGTCAGTCAGATTTGTGGATGTGTTACTCTAAAAGTTTTTTTTTTTAAAAACATGTTTTCAAAAACTTCTGTCACATTGACCAGCATAGTCTTTGTATTATCTGACCCGAATTTTATCCCAATATTTTGATCAAAAAATCATAAAAAATCTACATTGGCATTTACAAATGTGGCAGATGTTTTATTCCGAAGTGACTTGCATTGCATTTTAGGTAGACATCAGTTTGGAAAAAAACTATAATTTGAAATGATGCAAGGCTTTTGGCCAAAAGTCTTCAGTCTGTCTGTTGAGAGTTTTTGTTCTCTCATGTCTGTTTTTTGCTCGTGTTACTTAATTTCTCATACGGCTCACGTGTAAGGCGTCGCTCACATACGCCTTTGTCGCGTGCAAACGGCGGGATAAACTCGACGGCCGCGGCTGATGAAATATTTAAACGTGAAAACCTCATTACCTGCGACACTGTAATTACTCTGGTGCGTGTGAAACGTCGCATTAGTCACGTCTTGAATTTGATTAGTATGTATACGAGTAAAACAGAACGCGGGACCGCCGGAGGGAAACACCCGTACAAACACACTCGTCAAACCTTCAGCCGGTTACGTAACAGCGGCTCGTTAGTGAGGGGAGACCCTTCAGTTCACTTCTCAGAGTTTAATGTGTTTGGACCGACTGTAAACGGCTTTATGCTGCTTTAAAACACATACAGCAAGAGACATACACTTTGTTTTATAAAATAACATTATACAGTTTACATTAAGATTTTTTTTTGTTTTTTAAGTCTCTTATTCTCACCAAAGCTGCATTTATTTGATCAGAAAATACAGTAAAAATTGTGAAATATTATTATAATTTAAAACAGCTGTTTTAATATAATTTATTCCTGTGATGCGCAGCTGTATTTACAGCATCATTACTCCAGTCTTCAGTGTCACATGATCTTCAGAAATCATTTTAATATGCTGAACTCCGTCTGCCGTCTGTGTGTGACCTTTGACCTCATTGACCCTTTGACCTGTGTGACCTTACAGGATCCGCCTCAGCAGCGTCTGCCGCCTGTCAGAGAGACATACGGGCTGAACCTGCTGGCCATCCCGCCGGATGAAGACATCCTCATATACCACAGGTCAGAAATACAGGAAAAATTGTTTAATATTATTACAATCTACAACAGCTGTTTTCTATGTGAATATGTGTTAAACTGTAATTTATTTCTGTGATGCGCAGCTGTATTTTCAGCATCATTACTCCAGTCTTCAGTGTCACATGATCTTCAGAAATCATTCTAATATGCTGATTTGCTGCTCAAGAAACATTTCTTGAGTTGTGCTGCACAATATTTTTGTGGAAACTTGTGATACATTTTATTTTTCAGGATTCACAGATGAACAGAAAGTTCAAAAGAACAGCACTTATTTGAAATAAAAATCTATTTTAAATGTCTTTACTGTCACTTTTGATCAATTTAATGCATCCTTGATGAATAAAAGTATTAATTTCTATGTAATTTAAATATAATTTATCAAAAAAAAAATAGGATCTATTGAAACAGACTCATATCGAACAGCTGAGTCTTTGGCCATTTTCAAAAAACGTCTAAAGACATCATTTTCGCGCCAGCTCCTGACGAACTAATACTAGCACTTACCTATTCTATTCTATTCTATTCTATTCTATTCCATTCTATAAAAAAGAAAACCTAGCTATGTGCACTGTGCTAGACTAACTGAGACTTGTCACAGCACTTGGATAGTGTTGCTCTCTCGTTCGTCTGATTGCTTCCATTGTCCTCATTTGGAAGTCGCTTTGGATAAAAGCGTCTGCTAAATGATTAAATGTAAATGTAAATTGTGCACAGATCTCATGTCACGTGGTCCTCTTTCAGTCAGGATCAATGGGAATCATGGGATTTGACCTCAGTGATCGGGAATATCTTACACAAAACACAGAAGGCTATTATAAGACGGTCAGGTAGCGTGTGAAACGGTGAGATCTCACGTGTGTCACGTCTGAGTGTGATGAGCTGAAGGATGCAGCAGCAGCTGTGCTTCACTTATTCTTTTACCCTTCAAACCACTTTCATGTTCCTGTCACTCACACACTCACTCACTCACTCACTCACTCACTCACTCACTCACACACACACACACACACACACACACACACACACACACAGACACACTCACTCACACACTCTCACACTCACTCACTCACTCAC